GAACACAGAGTCCTCAATCTCTTTTTCTGTGTCCCCTGTTATCAATGAACAGGAATCCTCTATGAGTGTTCCTGTTCATTGATAACATGAGAACATTGTTTATTATAACAATTATGAATGAATGGAGGTGATGTAGATCACTCCCATTCATTCATAATTGAGGATATAGTTAACATACCATGTCCTCAATTATGTACACAGACTCAGCGATCACTGTTTGTGTACCTTGCTTTTCTCTCTGACACAGGAGGCTGGTCGAGCGGTGTAGAGAGGAAAGCCCAACCTCCTGTGACAGCGCCGTCGCCGCCCCACACCGCTCTGCCGGACTGTGATAGGCGGCTGAGCCGTGTGGGAGGAGAGACACCGGCCGCTCAAAGCGTTCTCGTCCTGCAGCGCTCGGCCGGCTGTCACTTTCTTTTCTCCCCGCTGGAACAGCGCCCAGCGGGGAGAAAAGAAACCACAAAACCGTGCCGAGATACTACACTGAGTAGGGATGCGCCGATGTATCGGCCGAAACATGGCTCTTTCGGCATTATGCCAAAAATGCCATTTTCGGCCGATATATCTGTGCATCTCTACTCAGTGTAGCATCTCGGCACGGTTTTGTGTCGGGGTGAAGCAACTTCAATGCATAGTTATGCAATCAGGGCCCCTCCAATCAAGAAGCTGAACTCAATAGACCAGAAGCTGGAAGGGTCAGTGACAAGAGGGGGGGCATGGACACTGCAGTGCTGGAAAGGAATGCTCCGCTAGGAGAGGCTTTCATATTGTGGAAACATACTGTGCATACTTGCACATTAAAGCTAAAAAAAAAAAAACCTTCCCGGGGCCAAAAAGTTTGGATTTTGTCTAGTAGTTTGCTTCCGCTTTATTAGCCACCCTCTGTATTAAAATGTATACTATTTAGAGTAGCATATTGTCATTAAATGTGCACCAGCCATAATATTATGACCACTGAGAGGTGAAGTGAATAACTGACTATCTTATTATAATGGCACGTGGGTGGGATAGATCAGGCCGAAAGTAAAAGGCATGTTATCCCTGAAGTTGATGTGTTGAAAGTAAAATAAACGGGCAAGCTTAAGGATTTGAGCAACAAGGGCCAAATTTTGATGGCTAGACGAGTGGGTCAGAGCAACTCCAAAACTGCAGCTCTTGGGGGATGTTCCTGGTCTGCAGTGGTCCAAAGAAGGAAAACTGGAGAACCGACGACAGGATCATGGGCGGTCATGGCTCACTGGTGCACGTGGGGAGTGTAGGCTGGTTGTGTATTCCAATCCAATAGAAAAACTACTGTAATTCAAATTGCTGAAAAGGTTATTGCTGGCTAGAAAGATGACTGAACACACAGTGCATGGCAGTTCGTTGCATATGGGGCTGTGTAGCCGCAGAGCAGTCAGGGTGCCCATGGAGACCTGTGCCCAACGCCAAAAGCACCTACAATGAGCATAACTGGATCACGGAGCAATACAAGTAGGTGGCCTGGTCTGATGGATCACATTTTCGTTTACATCATGTAGATGGCCAAGTGCTTGTGTGTCGCTTATCTTGGGAAGAGATGGCACCAGGATGCACTATGGGAAGAGGGCAAGCTGGCAGAAGCAGAGTGATGCTTTGGGAAATGTTCTGCTGGGAAACCTTGTGTCCTGCCATTCATGTGGATGTTACTTTGACATCTACCACCTACCTAAACATTGTTTTGCCGACCAAGTACACCCCTTCAGGGCAACTGTATTACCCGATGGCAGTGGCCTCTTTCAGCAGGATAATGAATCCTGCCACACTGAAAAATGGTTCAGGAAAGGTGAGGAACACGAGTTTGAGGTGTTGACTTGGCCTCCAAATTCTGCAGACCTCAATCCAATCGAGCATCTGTGGGATGTGCTGGAAAAACAAAGCCTATCCATGGAGGCCGCACCTCACAATTTAGGACTACTTCCAGTATCTGCTACTGACGTCTTGGTGCCAGATACCACAGCATACCTTCAGAGGTCTAGTAGAGTCCACGTCTCAATGGGTCAGGGTGTTTTGGCAGCAAAAGGGGGAACTACACAATATAAGGCAGGTGATCATAAAGTTATGGCTGGGGGGGGCGTGGCCAACTAGCGGACGGAATGGCTGCTTAGACCCGGAGCTCCGACCATCCACAGGCCCAGGCACTAAATACAGCGACCAGCGGGATCACTACCGGCCACACTCACTGCTGCTGGTATCCGGAGAGCGTACCGGAGATGTCCCGCAAACGCAGGAACGGCCCCAGACCTCGTAAGGTCACCGATTTCTTCCGGCGGCCCCAGCCTAAGGCCATGCAAGATGGCGGCTGCCGCGGCGCTGCACCTGTGTCCCTCTCAGGGCTCCGAGAGATCGGAGGGGTCTTCACGCTCCTCACAGGACGGAGAGCAGGAGAGCTCGCTCATCCCCGCTGACACAACGGCTGCCTGCTTCTCCTACAGGGCTGAGTCCGGCAAAATCGAGGCCCCGGCTTTCGGGCCTAGTGTAAGAGGTGAGCCCTTCTAACACTATGGACGACACGAGGTAATTGTTTGCCCCTATAGAGAACTACCCCACAGCCAACCAACCCCTCTCTGACACCACCCTTAAGGATATGCTAGTGTCCTTGAGGAGTTCACTTAACACGGATATACAGGCTTTGGTCCGCCAGTTTAAATCTGACCTGAATGAGGTGGGAGAGAGGGTTGCACACATTGAAGACAAGATGGGGGACTTTGCAGACACCTTCAACGTCCTGGTAGACGCTCATAATGATAGGGAGGAGGACATATCATGGCTGCAGACTAAAGTGGCAGACTTAGAGGATAGGTCACGCCGCAACAACATTAAGATAAGAGGCATCCCTGAGTCCGTCCGTCCCGACGACTTGTCCACCTTTGTGGAAACATTCATAAAGTTATGGCTGATCTGAGCAGGGGTGCAGAATTCCCATCACCCGAACTGCATGTCCCAGGCGGGTAGTTCCCCCCCACATATAGCCCTGCTGCAGGCTAGCAGAGCTAAATGTAGAGCAGGGGAGCCAGCAATCATTTAGTACAACTAATCTCAGATCACTTGTATAAAATGTGCAGCCATCTAAGGTACTGAAGGCTGGGTGTTTTTTTTTACCTTAATGCATTCTCTGCACAAGGCCTCATTCACACGAGAAAAGGCCGGCACGTAAAGCTCCATGCACGGCCGTATCGAGCAGCTCCCAGGAAGGACAGGTGCTGCATGTGATTAGTATGCAGCTCCTGTCCTTCTCTAAGGGAGTACGCAGCCATACGCTCACCCCAAGTGCAGTTCCGTGCGGGTCCCCCTGGCTCGGACGCAGACAGGATCCATCCTGTCAGCGCAGTGCGCACGAGTACGGACGCCCGCAACGACGTGCAGGGCGGGTCAGTGTACGGCCGCATACTTCCATAGAGAAGGACAGGGGCTGCGTACTAATCACATGCAGCACCTGTCCTTCCCGGAAGCTGCTCGATACGGCCGTGCACGCAGCTGTACCTGCCGGCTTTTTCTCGTGTGAATGAGGCCTTAATTTAAAAGACAACAGTACTTTTCTAAACCCCGCCCCCATGTACCTGCTTGCATCCTCTGCAGCAACCAGGAAGGTACTCCATGTTCTGCAAATTTCCTAGTTGTGGGGGTGGGTACTGAGGGCAGAAGAGCCATAGGTTCCTTCTGTTGTCAATCAAACTGTGACTGCAAGGGTGGGGGCGTGGCCGGCCACACACTATGGATGTCCACAGCTAGGTGCATGCACGGTTGCCTCCACAGCAGCTGAATAGCTAATGGAGGCACCCGTATGGGGGCTAAGGGGTCCAAGGGTTTATTGCTAGAGGTTTGGATACCACTAGAGAACGAGGGAATAAAAAAAAAATTAAATGACAAAATAGTGCATTAAAGCAAGTCTGGCCACCCCAAAACAGAGTAAAAAAAAAAAACCTGAAGGTTTAATATCACTTTAAAAATAAAGGATACAAAAACGATAAAAAACACTCACCTTGGACCTGGCCTTCCGAGGCACAGGTGACGTCAAAGCGCCTTCTGGAAGCATCAGAAGACCGGGGCAAGGGGAGTATTCTCGACACAGATTTGTATTTTTACTTTACCATCCATTTTGTTTTGGCGGCATGAAAGCAGACCTTCCATTTGTATGGAAATTCCACCTTTAACAATTATTTTAACAGGCCGCTTAACGTACCACAAAGCCAAAAATGAGGACCATTGCCTTCTTGCTAACGCAGCCTATGGTAGTGCACATACCACGCAGCGCAGTGGTGTGAATCGGCCCTAAGAGAGTGGGAGAATCTCCCCAGTGGGGACACACACCAAAAACTCAACAGGGATTCTAAGCCATCCATAGTTTATCAAAATGTTTTGGCATTAGATTAAAAAAAAGGGAACCCGTGTTAATTAATCCTACATACAGAATAAGGGACGCGTGTGATGATGACCTCGTTATGAAAAGGTCAGATGAGCTCCATTCAAGGAGGAGAGATCGGGTAAACACTGATGAAGGGGGTCCAGCATGTAGATGGATGCAGCAGTGTGGTACCCATCCCAGAACTGAAAAGGGCCACGCAGGCCCTACACCCAATAATATACTGATGAGGAAACATCCTTATAACAGGGCAGAGAATGTGGGCTACTATGACCTCCCTCAGTCACAGTGAAAACACTGCTTCTATACCCCCATGGTCAATGGAGTCCCATATAAACCTCATTCTGCTCATTAGGGAGACCTCGCGGTGAGGCCCGGTCACCGCACACCGGCCTTTATTAGTGACATCACACTCAAGCCATTGAAACGGGAGGCCGCCCTCGCTGGACAGCCCTGCCTATACAAGCAGCCAGGTGGAGACCGGCACGTAGGCCGCAGGATACAACGCGAGTCGTTTCAAGGAGAAAGGACACGAGGCCCGCGCTACAGAGCCCCGCAGACACAAGCCCGCTACCCCCCACTTACCCACCCTCAGCGTACCAACCAACCAGCGACCTACCTGCTAAAGGTTCGGCTTGGGGCGGGCTTTGCGCTCCGGAGCAGCCTCGGTGTCCCTCACACAGCGTCGGCACAAGCAACGGCGTGCTCAGCTGCCGGCTACATATACCAGGCTTACAACCTAACTTGGTGAGGCTCTCGGGCCAATCGTATCAATTATCTCAAGCACCTCGGAAGCCTATTCGCTTTTCGGCGCCGGACGGGCGGGACTACAGAGTGACTGACGCGCCTGTTAACCAATAATAGCGCGCACGAGTTTCCATGGGCGGGCCAGAATTGGAACAAGTCGCGACCGCCAGCCAATAGTAAAACACATCACATCGCAGAGGGCGTGACGAGTGGGGAGGCTCTGTGTCCACAAAGAAAGACCGGCTTGGGTTGGCGCGCGGAGATTCCCACACTGAAGTAGTGTGGTTGTGAAGAAAGCGATACCCCTGCGAAATGGAGCAGGAGAACCCGGGATTGCTATAAAGAGAGGCGGGAATAAGGGGCGATGGCAAATCAGAATGCGGGGAGTGGGATGATTGACAGATGTAGAAAGGGTTTCTTAAAGCTAGAGTGACCCTTTGCTTAGGCTCATACATGGTCACAAAACAGACGAGCCTCCTCAGTATTATCACCTACCCTTATCACTTCCCTCATCACCCCTGGAAAGGGAAAGCTGACCTGAAATACAGATTTGTCATAACAGTGCGAGGAGAGAAATACTAGATCATAAGCTGAGCCTATTAGTAATAGCAGAACCCTGCAGTGATAAAACAATACAATTAGTTAAACAAAAGAATAAAACACTGCTCACCACCTCACTATGTCCAGTACAAAAATACCAGAAAACACCCTACAATTACAGCAATGGCGCATAACATCTTCCATCACCAGGTCTGAGAAAGTACGATGTCACAGCTCTTGAGCGAGATAAAAACACCAAGAAGAAGAATGGTAGCTCTTCCTGCCCCTAAGGCTGGAAATAAGAAGTTTGACACAAAATAGCAAGTTCGATCAATGAACGAATGGGCGGAGCCGGCCGTAGTGTCACCTGGAGACGCTGGTCATTGCAACTGGGCGGAGCCAGCTGCAAGATCAGCTGTCATTTGCAAGGCGTTCGCCCCGCTTTCGCTGTCGCTTAGGCTCAGTGGAGCCGAAGCATATGTCTTCGGCTCGGACGCCTTCGAGAGCTGCACGGGCTATAGCGTATAGCCCGTACAGCAGCCCTTCGGTTCGAGAGAACCGAAAGGCTCCGGCGGCCGAAGCTAGCGAAAGGATCAGCCAGAGCTACGTCCTTTCCTGCCCCTCCTCATGCTGAGCGGTGCGCACGAGTGGGAAAACGGCCCAAAATGTAAACAGCCAGCAATGGCTGTTTACATACAAGCTTTCCAGCGTCTGTAGATTGTTAAAGATGTCACCAGCACACCATAGTGAAGTGAAGAACACGTCTGTTTATTGACGCTGCATGTCAAAACAAATAGCAACGCTTTGGGGCCACACAGGGTCCCCCTCATCAGGCTTGAAATACCCGGTAAGGAGTGCAGCAGGATTCTGGAATACATATGTTCTGACTGGCGTCTGTAGAGACGCCCGGTCGCTTGTATTTTGCATGTGGCTGTGCTTCCCCTGCCACAGCCGGTCCCGAGCTCTGCTGTGCCAGTCTCCCTCTGATCTTCTTGCCGGTCTCCGAATGCAGGAAGTGATGTATTTTACATCACTTCCACATTCATCTGTCATTCATGGCTACAGGAGCCAAAGAGAAGCTGGTGAAGCAGATCTATGCTTCATCAGCTTCTCTGGGGGTCCCTAGGTAACATTATGGGTCTTGGAGACCCCGGATGTCTCAATAAACAGGACCTGTCACGTAAATTAGTGGAGTTCTTAGCCCCCGACGTGATAGCAATCAAATTAAGTGTAATAAATAAAAAAATAAAATCACATTTAAATAAATTTAAAAAAAATCCCCCACACAAAATTTTTTTTAAAGTCCCCTGCCCCCACATAGACACGCATCAGGTGTGCCTATGTGTGAAAACACCCGCACACGTTACATATCATGTACTTTTTTTTAATTGTATAGTACAAAATAAAAACCCCCAGTGGTGATTATATACCACCAAAAGAAAGCTCTATCTGTCCCCCAAAAAATTATATAAAATTAATTTCAGTACAGCGTTGCATGACGGAATAAATGTCAGTGAAAGTACCGCAGTGCTGAATACTGAACAGCCTGGCCAGGAAGGGGGTTTAACACAAGCATAAGGATCCCTATTTGCTGACATGTAACTGCCAATTTCAGATTTTGATGTTCTGAGCTGAAAATAACGGTTGTGAATTCCTTTATTTAAATGATTGATATTATTAATGATATGAATAAAAGCCCCATTCAATGCATTGGAACTTGGCAGTTAAAAGGAGAACTATGAGGTGAGTGCTTTTCACTCACCTCATAGTTCTAGCCGACCTGTGACAATGAGACTGTCACAGGTCGGCTCAGTAAATCGGGAGGTGAGCGAACACATACCGGGTTCGCTCACCTCTCGATCCTATCACGGCTGGATTCCCCTCTCCGATCCGCCAGCGCTGACTGGCGGAACGGACGGGGGAGGGGGCAGGTACAGCTGGCTTTGCCTCTAGATAGGCAGAGCCAGCTGTCACTCACGCAGCTGGGCGGATCTCGACATCGATGTCGGGATCCGCTCCGGCGTCTCAGTATACCGCGAGCCTAGGGTGACGGGAGGACGCTAGTTTGTGTCCTCCCGTTACCCTAAGGAGAACTATGGGGAAAAGCCCTGACCCCATAGTTCTCCTTTAAAGCCTGTCCACCGTTGAAGCACTGCCCACTGCATTATATGGAGACAGTTAATCCCTTAATGACGAGGCCTTAAAAAGGAGAACTATGACATGAGTGATTTCCACTCACCTCATAGTTCTAAGCCGACCTGTGACAATGAGACGGTCACAGGTCGGCTCAGTAGATCGGGAGGTGAGCGAACACATACCGTGTTCCCTCACCTCTCGATCCTGTCACGGCTCTCTGCCGTGACAGGGGGAGGG